GTGGTATCGCAGCGAAGTGAATTGATTCTCCGTGTTCGATCAACTATCAGTGATATGCATTAATCCCTCATAGTCTCGTGCTGTTTGTTCGGTCCCAGTACGATCCAGCCCAATGGAGTTCTAACGGCATACGGATCACCAGGATCCCCGCGTCTCTGGTCTAATGCCCAGTGTATGTATGGGTTATCGTAACCAATCAAAACTTCAACCCTTCCTTCCAGCTCCGGTAACCGTAGATCGGAGAGGTGGGACCATCTGTCGAAATCGTTGTTCCTGTTTCTCCTTCCAAGTTTTTCTGGGAGACGACTGACTGACCTAATTGAATCTAATTGGATCGCCTCATCCCTATCTATAGATCGAACAGTCACACTAACCAACTGGGATTCCACTTGACATCGGCCAGCAACGGTGTTAATGTTAAGTGTCGTCGCGGACCCTTGAACCACGATAACGATGTTGAATCAATCAGTGAAGTATCTGATCCATTATCTATTAAGGCTAATGTTCGAATCGTGCCAGCAGGCCCAGAAACAAGCACAGGTAACAAGCCAAGCGACACAACAGAGGGTTCGATGTGACTGAGAGCAAAACTGGATCCATCAGTGTTTGGTGTTCCGAAGTTGCTTCGATCAATATGGAGTAGCGGGTGGTGCAGCAGTTTACAACTGTTCGACCCACAACATCTTCGTGATCGACAAATTGGTAGGTCATGGTTCGGTTTGAGACAGAGCTGACGTAGGCTATGGGCGCAACAGAATTTAAGACGTTCGTTGAGGTTGTGCTTTCGGAAATCATCGCACTGAGCTAAATAATGACGTCGTTCACAGGAAACACATTTGGGGAACTTTCGTTCTGATGAAGCCGCAGTGTTTAGGCAAGCAGTATATCCCCGAGGGCTTAAACTTCTTCCTCCATCAGTGCTGGTCGGTGGCCCGCAGGGACGTGCGGCAACGGACAAGTAAGTATCGACGACGTCTGCAGTTTCATCCACGGAATCTGCCAAATCAATGAAGTTCGGTTCTCTTTCGGTGCGGATAATTCTGGCGGCATGCTCGGCCCACATGTATAGCAGATGCTTGGGCAGCCTCCTGATGATAGAGCTGATTGTTCTGGACGCGTTCAAATCGGAATCATACCTCATTTGTTTCAAAGTCAAGTAGCATGAACGCAGCTCCACAGTTAAACGTGACAGAAGCCAATCTTTCCAGAACTACTTCAATTCAGCTATCAGGCTTTCATATTGAAAGTGTTCCGCTCGACGAGCCATACGACGGTCTTTATTGTCATTCAGTGCACTTGCGCTGTCGCTGATTGTTTCACTGACGCCTGGTTTTTCGAGATCAGTAGTGCGGATCAGCTGGAAGAGCTTGCAATAGTTGCCTACTGCTCCTGCTCCTTTTATTTCTTGAGCCCTACTGATCCACCAGGCTTCCTTGCAGCGCAGGCTCCGCTTTAGTTCGCGTCTAATAGTCCATCTGGTTATATTTTGCTCATAGGCAGCCGAGAAATTTCTTCGAAACTCCAACAGGCTATCCAGTGACGGGTGCCGTGACAGTTGATAGTACCGCAGGCAGATGCTCCTGCGACGTGCATGCCTGCCGAAATACTATTCCATTGAAGCCTAGTGTCATTAAGACAAGGGAGCGAAAGTTCGCTACGCAGTACATCTTGGTAGGCTTGCTGAAATAATTCCCCATTTATCAATCTTGGGAGACGCTTGATATGCCTCCCGGTAAAGTTCATGGAAAAGCGACAGCGTACCAAGGCATGATCAGAGTGGACGCAAGCATTCCAGTACGAGCGACAATCCAGGATAGAACCACGGCACCTGTAACTTTTTGCAACGTGCTCTATTTGGATTCATCGCTGGCCAGCTAGAGTAGGACGCCAAGTGGCACCTCGGCTCCCACTGTGTCTAAAAGCAGTGCTACTGAGAAACAGTTTATGCTCCACACCCAGTTGCGAAAAACCCTCTCAGCTTAATTGATAGCAGCCGCAATACCACCGCAGTCTTGCCATCTGCAAATACCTTCCCGCACGACACTGGACACCAATCATCAACGTGGTCGGCCGGCGGCCGAGTGATCTGAACACCTGGCTTGCAATCATAAGGTCACCGGTTGGAATCCGCGTAAGGGCGAGTGTCCTTGCGGTGTGCTCAGCCCACACACGACTGGTGGTCGCGCGGCATTGAAGCGCCGTTACGGTGTACAGCTGACACATTATTATTTTCCATTTTTAACCCCTTATAAAGCCACCCTGTTCCGTTCCCCTTGCGGCATTCAACGTCCGCACTTTAAGACAGCTCAACGAGCTGCATTCGCACGCCCGTTGGACACCCTGGTGAAAGGCTATTTAATCTTGATTATGCGGATGACATCGTTTTGTTGTTTAATGATCTTGGGGTGGCGCAATCAACCATGAATAGCTTCACTAAATTAGCCCCATCATTTGGCATTTCGCGCGCTCAAAGTGCAATGTGCTGCTGCAGGATCACCAGCCACTTGATGACTCTTTAACCCTTGATAGCGAGGAACTCGACGTAGTTGACCGATTCACTTACCTTGGCAACTGTATCGGCAGCCATTGTGCGCATACCAACTGGTCGGTTTACCTACTGCAACCAACTGCCAATTGTTTCGGCCTGTGCTTTGCACCGTCAAGATTTAAAGCTACACTTCAAGATTGACAGGGTCCGCCCCCTGCGCTTTCCATTGATATGAACCAACAAGAAGTTATTCAGAAATTCAACTGCTGACTAGCCAAGTCACGAACTGCATGGCAAAGGGTTGAGATACTTGTAGTGGTGGCTCGACATCACTCGCCCTGTACGGCAGAGTCCTCATTTCGGCTGTCCACACAACCTTACTATACGTTGGGGTAAACATGGCTGGTCAGATTGGCTGCCACCAAGAGGCATGCCTTTGCAGTTTAGCCCAGGAAAAGGAAGTGCATCGCTCAGTGTTATTACTTCATGCACCAAGCTCCGTCACGGATGCCAATACATCAACTCCAGCGGCGCACGTTGTTTGCGTGCATGGGTGCTGAATGAAGATGAGATGAAGCCAAGTAGTAAGTTGGTCCAGAGAAATAAAGAGCTTCGAGGTTGGTTTCGGTTGGAGCTTCTCGACTTCCTGGTTGAGGTCCGCAAAACGGTGAGCACATTAGATTGGATACACTTATTTACATGTTGAAGAACCGACCTCAATCGCGTTTGTGTTGTGAATTTCTTTTCCCCTTCTATTCCTCCCTTCTCCAGTCATGTTCCCATTCCGATGCATTATAAATAATCGACATAATAGTATTCCTTTTTCGTGACCACACATTTGAGTTGTGTACTGCACTTTAACTATGTTTCTCATCCCTAACTAACCTGTGGAGTATTGGGGTAGAGTCAGATGTTTCTGCTATATGTTGCCTGTTTGGAGCCGGCCCATAGCCCTAAGGACTACAAGCCTGCGTTGTAATCTGAGGGCGCGCGTTTGAGCCTGTGTGGGGACCGAGCGACCCTCGAAATATGCTTAGCCCACAGGCGACCGGTGTTAGTTGTGTGGCGGCGAAGCGTCGGTACGCAGTACCGACGTACTGCTTATGCCTTTCTTTCCTCCATCTGATTGACCTTGGTGTCATCGGCCGGTGGTCAAAGGGATGAGGCGTCTGCGTTGTTGTCCAGAAATCAGTGGTTCGAATCTGCATAGCTGCTGGCCATCTCGCAGTATCCTTAACCCACGCGCGACTGTTGGAGCTCGTGTCAGCAGAGCGTCGGTTAGGCGTACCGGTCTAATGCTAATGCTGTGATTTTTGTGTCATTCTATTGTCTGTTGTTATTTATTATTATTTCATTATTCTGTTGTCTGATCCTAACTCCACTTAAAACTGGCAGAAATTCACCTGTAGACGGTTTGAAATGCAGTGGATGATCCACAGGTCGTTCGTGATCATCACAGCTGAAATGTTCGCTACTTCGTTTCCCGTCCCTTTAAAACGCACCTGAAATACTGCTTCCATGCTTGACCACCGCACTTGTTCTGTGATAGGATGTTAGTAGTGGTCGTCCTGGAGATTTGTTTATGAGCTAAAATACCTGTCGTACCCAGAAAGGTTGCTTCAACTAGGAATGTTTCCAATACATTACCAACTATTTCGTGGCGACTTCGCCCCAACTGCCGCACGCCATGAGGAGAACATCGGCCTTGACCTACCTTGGATTTCTAGACCAAGTCGGTATCCATCCTTCTGCGGTCATCTGACGAAGTTAGACAGACCACGATCTGACGGGTCTTGGACCTACTCATGTATCGTGCGAAGTACTTGATTCATGGAATGCACTACCCGTGGTCCTGATGGTCTCATCAATAATGTGGGGGTTTGAGCATCGACTCGGCACCATTGGCATACAGTTTCAAATCTTCCCTTTCACATCCTAGGTTCCACTCATGTTTCTTGCATTATCATATTTCTTTGATCACTACCATAATTTGGCTATTATTATATTTACAATTTTCATTTCACTTGGCAGGAACAGCAACGATTACTAACTCAGGCTGCGCAGGCCTTAGCTGGTTGAATGTTTTGTGGTTTGCGCCTATCGACTTGGCTATCCTAGGTTGCGTATATTACCGCTGTCTAATATGCTGGTTTAATGGCACGCTCAAAAGGGAACACACACCGGATTTTCTAACTTTTCCAGTCCCATTTGGACATGAAGTTGAAACCATCTGTGATCATCGTGGGCAGCACTCGCTAAAAAGCGAGATAGATAGATAGATAGCTGCACCGAAGGTGTTCTTTTAACACATTAAAAGACAAGAGCTTGGTCACGCTCGCTTAGATGGCTCTTGTTCCAGTTTCTTTTTATGTTTCCACTTTTATCTCCCTCACTGTTAGCCTTGTTATCTTCTATGACCGTCCTCCATATCCGTTCCATTCGGCACGACCTCTTACTATGTGGGTGTGATAATGTCATACAATGCTTAAAAACTATTTTTATTATCTTCCAGGTGTACAGACTTGTTACGACCTACTTTACGCACTGGACACGAAAGAGTTCGGAACCCCGAAATTAACACTACACTGATACGGACCTCTTTCTTCTTTAACTTCCCAGTTGAATGAATACTACGCGTTGAATTATTAGGGCCGTCAATTATCAGAATCTTGGTTATTTTTGCTCGTCAGATGAACAGTTTTACAGAGTACAACCGTTTCGCTGCAAAAGAAAAGGTGAGTATACTTCCTGTTAGCTATCAGCCTGCTCAGTTGCGCAAATGCATTGTGGAGTGCCAAGCTGAACTAAATCCTCCTTTTCGACTGTCGGATGCAACCAAATGGGTTGAAAGTTATTTTAAGAGGGAGGGCGGTAACATTGACTGCGTTCCCCTCTTCGTACAGTTCATTAGGGACCTTGGGATTATATCCAAAGCGGAAAAATCTAAATTGAATTCAAAATTTATGTAAGTTTGATCCTCATCATGTTTATTTTCAGATTCAATGAAGCGAGGATTCGCGAGTTATTTGAGTGCGTGAGCCCTGATATGCTCCGCGTAAGCACCAAAGGTAGCTAGTTCTTAAGATGCCTCGTTTGACATATTTCCTGATTGGTACGCCTGTTTTCCTTTAGACAGGATTTCGGGAGTATGCTTTTGCTTCTGCTCACTGTGTCGATCGCCGCTCTTTCGTCCACCAAAGACGCGTCCACCGGTGCAGTCAATTTATCGATCGCTTTTTAACTGATTCAGGCTTATGGCTTGTAATCTACGGCTATCTGGTTCCAGCCTGCATAGATGCTTTCCACCTCGTTATCTCGAACCGGCTTACACCTGGCGACATCGGTATTACGTTCCGGCACAATAGTGGTGCAGATCGGAGTTACTTTGAGTTATTCTGTCTAGCCTCGTTACACAGCCGCTTGTGAAATTAAGGCCTTAAGCATTTAAGTTAGAGTGCTAGTCTCCGATCTTGAAGTCAGCGGCAGTATTTTCTCAGCCGACCAGGAGAAGATAGTTGCGACTGGACAAAAAGCAGCAAGAGTAATGAGTATAAATCTGCCTTCATGAAGTACTCCATTCCATCCTCTGCCTCTAGAATCTAGACGAATATATTTTCGTGTGGAGAATACGGTGTCGAGCCTTTAGCTAATTCTTCGCGTATCATAATAATCTTTTTATCGTGCTGCTTTTGCCTGCACGAGTCAGTTCTTTGGGACTGTGTACTTTAAATATGCCTTACAGCTTCTTGAGGAATTAAAAACATGCGCACTTTGGCTTGTGCTTCGCGTCTTCATGTTACCTGATTTTGTCGTAGAACTGATCTGAGGCTCACGGTGCTTGAGACAAGCAAGCGACCACTGGAAGTAATCCACCAGTTATGTCGTCTACTTTGCTGTATCCTATTTTGTCGTAAACTCGTCGAGTCACCTGCATCATCAAAAAGGCCTGTGGGTCCTATTACAACCCGGACCATTTGTGGAGATGACGTGACTTCAGCTTACCGGTATAGTGTGTGGTTTTCGGCTCTAAAGTGCGTTATCCGCGCATTGATGCCAGCACTTGAATGGTCATCTTTGGTCAGTGGTGACTCCGAGGCACTGCTCATTTACTGTGAGAACATTGAATGATAAATAAGTAGATGTTTTCGGGCGGGCAACACCTAATTCCCATACGCTACAGCTACGCTCCTAGTGATCGAAATGGGAAAGGTTCGCTTCATTGCGAATCACCGTCCATATTGAGATTGCGAGTCGCAATCCAATCACAAAATGCGTATCCCGAAATGACCATCCAATCAGTCATCAGCTCTTGTGCCAAGCGTTGCCCGTCGTGACCTAGTGACTAAAGAGGTAGTGGTTCCAACTAACATCCCAGTGGTCTTGGGTTCGACGCCTGTTCTCTCTACCTGATGAGATTAAACAAGATCGGAACGTGTAGTAGAGTGTAGCGTTTCCAGGTGGGCAACATCTGATTCTTATACGCTTCAGCTACGGTCCTACTCGTCGAATTGGCCAAAGTTCGCTTCAATGCCAATCACGATCCACATTGAGATTGCGCGTCGCAATCCGATTACTCAATGAGTATCTCATAATGACCCTCAAATCGATAAGTAGTTTATTTTCGTAGCTGTTTGACAACAGACCATGCAGTCCTGCGCTAGAACACACGCACTGTGCTTATCCACTTTACAACGCAGACTAGTTATGCTGTCATGTATCGGAATTGCCCGCCCAAAAACAGCGTGCTCTACGACCGTTTTCCTCCTTGTCCGGCTATGATAGCCGAATCTGGGACTGGCATTCGGAATATACGGGCTGATGGCTAGGGACTTGATCCCTAAGTTACTGGGATCCGCGAGCACTGATTGACACAGAATCGTCCTCGTCTTGTGTCGCCAATGCCGGACAAGGCTGCATAGATTCTTGATGCAATGGAGTTATACTGATGATCACTTCTCGTCTGTGTTTAGAGCTAAACACAGACAACTCCAATGTTTAGAGATTAGGTCAGCCCTATCTCAGCATCCATAATTTTGCAATTTGTACTACAATCAAATGCCATTTCTTCTTCATAACAGAGAATGAAATTAAGAACATGAGGCTAAAGCGAACAGTTGTTTTCACTGATTCATCATCAGACCTGTACAATTATATAATGAAAATAGCAGGGGGAGTACAATTGATCAGATTCATATAAATGTAACGAATCACGTGCTCACCAGGTTCCTGAACCGACGAACGATCTTAGCTACTGCAATTGTATCTTCCATTCTGCACAACTGGCTTTCGCGTCTTCCTCTTTTACTGGACAAAACAGCTACAGTGTCTGTTTGGATAAGCTGACACTGTGCGAACGAGCTGTATACCGGAGAACGAACGTATACAGGTTCTAACATTTTCAACAGAACAGTCGGACTCATCTGTGCCGTTGGATTACACGCTGGGCCTTGTGCTATCGACTCAGTTTGCCATGGCGGTGCGGTATACGTTCAACGCTCCAGCGCCATCCATTCTCAGGGTTGGTTGAATTGTGCACTACGCGCCGGTCGTCTGCGGTGACCCACATTATTCTCTTAGTTCATTGCGCCTACTCGTTTCGCCATACTACTCATTAGTAGTGCGCCACACTCCCCCTCTAAAGTCTCCGCTGCCGTCGAGCTCGCACGTAGTCTCCCCGATCTTCGGGGCTGTCCCATGTATGCCTTAGTTTCCTCTCCTCGCTCGTACCACTTCCACAATTCGCTAGCATGAATTCGCCACCTGTCTCCCTGTCGAGCGATGGTGTATACGGGTCTCGATCGATTATTTCATGTAGTCTCTTCCACTTCGGGAGGAGTTTTATCTCGCCTGGGCCACATGCGGCCGCATGTTGGTGATCTCTGTATTTTACCTTCGAATCGATTGGAAAGTCTCCGGAAGTTTTTTTCATGTTGACCCGGGGTTTCTCCATGATTCGCGCCTGGGCTGCCCTCAGATTGTTTTCTGCTTCACTCGGCGGTAACTGGAAAGTTGGCCACCTCCCCACCTTTAGATCCACAGGAATTCGGGGCGCGCGGCCGTACCTTAACTGAAATGTGGATTGCCTCGTGCTTGCTTGCTTGGACGCCCGATGAGCCAGCAAGAGTAGTGGTAGAGCTTCTTCTCAATCCCCTTTCGCCGCCAGACATTTTTTAATTGTCCTATTATTGTTCTCCGTCAATCCATTTGTCTTTTGATTGTAGGGAGCGATTCGTATCTTTTTCATGCCTAGTTTCCCCAGACGTCCGGGATTCGTCACTTTCATAGCATCGGCTTTGGTCAATCAGTATGGCCTTCGGAATTTCGTGGCCCGCTATCGCGTGCTTCATCACTGCATGTGTTATCGTGCTAGCCCGTTGATCTGGAATTGCCGCGGCTTCAATCCAGCGGGTGAAGTGCTCGGTCATCACGATTATGCATTGATTGTCCTGTCTCGTTAACGGGAACGGCCCTATCACCTCAGTTGACCACAACTCACTAATCTCGGATGCTGAAATCGCGAGCATAGGTTGTGATGTTACTCGAAAGCTGGCACTGCTGACACGACAGCACGTATGTATCGACGTCTATTTTCATGTCCGGCCATTAAGCTCGCTGCCTAAGCAAATCATATGCTCTAGTGCATTCAGTATGGGCCATCCCATGATAAGAGACCACCAACTTTTTCTCAACTTCCGGTGGGATCAGCGGCACCGGAGTTACGTTTCGCCTTTGTGTCTACCTCAGAATTCCAACTTCGTTGACTTGCGAATTTTCCAGATTCCGCTCAAACTGCCCGCTTGTTTGCCTTGGCTTTTACTTATCACAGTTTGATTCATTATACGTGCTGTTATCATTCTGCCCAGGAGCATATCCTTTCGTTGCTCAGCTGCCAACCTCCATGGATCCTGCTGCAGCATCAAACCACTGACACCGAAGGCAACGTTTGGCAAATTGTCGTCACTCGTCAGGCGGGATAAAAATTCTGTCGTTCCTTTGTCCCTCCCTGATGCGTGGCTTATCGTGAAGTATATATTTCTTCTGATGTCTTGAACTTATCGCGGATTTGTTCATAACCAATTTATTTTATACGCTTATTTAGTGAAGAGTTATTTCACCGTACCTGTATGCATTTTTCGATTTATTTTCTTCGATATTGTCGTTTCAAGTGATTGGCTGTTGCTTGATCTTCCCGGTGTGGCTGCGCTTGTTGTGCATGTTGTCAAGGTGCCTACCTGTCTATTACCCAATACATCGTCCATACTGGCTCCAGGAGACATTTGGTCGTTGCTGGAGGGGATGGGGTGCACGGTCCTTGTGGTCGTGCTAGGCTCGAAGAGTGGTTCCATGCAGTTAGTGTGGAGCGGACTACGGTCCAGCCACCGCCTTGTGTGCACTTGATTCCCCAAATACAGCGTGCTTGTGTTTGCCTGTGAAGCAGTGTGGGTTGACTTCGTTGATGAAACGTGGCTCCCATCCGCATGCCTCCCGATCTTATCCTTCGGGTTTACACTGGGTATAGGGCGTGTGGGTGGTGCGACGCAAGCCACTCATGGCCCCTTTGTGGGTGCAGGTGTCCTGTGGCTGTCTCCGTGTATGCCACAGTGACAGGCTAATCCGGAACCGGATGCCGCTAGCCATTATATATATATATATATATATATATATATATATATATATATATATATATATATCGAACCAGACCTGTGTGAATGTTTAAAATGAGCGGCTTCCTCCGGCATTGCGTTCCACTGTGATCAGTGACAAGTCCCCTTCTTGCCTATTTGACCTCAACACAAAAACCGAGGCGAACGCTTCACCGCCAACTGTCTCACTACCATCATTTACGTCTTCAGCTATCCCCATGAACAATCGAAGTTGATCCTCCGTTTCATCGGTGGGTGCGCTTTTGTATGATGTAAAGTACGAATGTCAAGAAGCTGCAATTGGAAATATTGCCAAGACAAAGACCTGGCAGCTGGAGTGAACCATGCCTTTAACCGAAAAACCAGGAAGGCGGCCATTGGAGATAAAGCGAGGTCCAACTCAACTTCAACGCAGCTGAAGCGTG